AAAATTAGTTATATTGAAATTTCCTGTCAAACAATAATTGTAAATAGAACATCGTCTTATCAACAATAATCAAAAGAGTTTCAAATAGTATCTTCTAACATCATAATAATCAACAATAAGTTATGTGCTTCTTGTGTAGACACCATCTACTTGGAAGCTGCAAAAGGCGGATCCTAGACACAGTTTCCAGCTTGAGAGGCGAATCCAACAAACTCCATTTCCTTGGAAACTTCATCCCCAACACCGTTAACATCATGAGTAATCTGAAGAAAAAAAGGGTCTTATGATTCATTGCCTAGAACAAGTACACTGCTCCTCTAACATCATAGGATATATAGTATCTTCTAACATCATACAAATCCTTATATTCAGTTTACTGTAATCCAAATCCATCTTGCCCATGTAACAAAACAAAATGAAAAATTTCATTCACTGTCACAACTAATAGAAATTATTCCTGTTGTTAAGAGCTTTGACAAAAGATACTAACCTGAAGTTGATAGCAAAACCAGACAATCTTCCATAATGACAAGTGGACAGAACACTCTTCTGTAGCAAAATAAAAATAAGACAAAAGATTTAATGTTAGAATACTATTCATACCTGACAACAAAATCAGCAATAGGAGAGATTCAAAAAGCACAAGAAATCCATACCAATCCATTTCATTGGATTCGCCAGTGTTATGTTCATTTTGCAACACATCCATGGCTCGAGGTGGCACCTTTACAGCCAAGTGCCAGTTCTTATTAACATTGTCTTCTGCATAAAATACTTGGGACACTTGACTTGCAAGAACAAATGGCTCATTTGTCTTCAACATTCTATTCAGGTTAACACTCACAAAACCATGTTCATCCACTTTCAACCCTTTTGTCTTATCATAAACATCGCACCAATCACACCTAAACAAAGCTAATGATCTTCCTCCAAGAAATTTCAGCTCAATGACCTCTCTTAAAACCCCATAGTAGTCTATAGCATTCACATCGACTCCGTCATCACCAACTACAACGACTCCATTATTTTGAGTCCTTAAACTTTTGTCATAATCCTTTGTGTGAAAACGAAAACCATTTAGGACATAACCTGTATAACACTTGACACTTTGAGCAGGGCCTCGTGATAGTGACAATAGGTCATCCAACCTCTTACTCTTGTTATGTTCATAGGAATTTGCAACCTGCAATAAAGGTTTTGATATGTTTTCATAACATAAAGGTGGATATTACCAAGCTGTGCAAATTAAAATTACCATGCCTTAGATATTAACTAGGAGGAAAAGAGCTTACCTTTTGCCTGAACCAAGAAATGAAGCTTGCATCATCCTCCTTATAGTTTCCTTCCAACAAATCATGCTCACAAAGATGACTAAATTCTCTACAATGTGCAATAACAAATTATAAATTAAGCTTGAACAAACAAAGAGATAGGTAAAACAATAATGAAAACCTTACTCGAAAAATGGTTGCACTTCTTCTGTATTCTTCATCACATAAATGTGGGCTTGCTCTAATTCCTTTGGACTGAGGCTACGAACATTATCATGACTACCCAAGAATCGTCCGACTTGTGAGAATTCAAGAAAATCTTGCACATCATCTCCAACACAATTCCTGTCAACCCTATTGAACTTTGTTTGGATACCATTCAAGTACCTAGAGCACAATGTCATACATTCTGAAGCTATATAGCCTTCTGCAATGGAAGCCTCTGGATGCGTTCTATTTCTTACATATGACTTCAAATCATGCAAGTAGCCCTCTATAGGATACATCCACCTAAATTGGACTGGACCCCCAACCATAGCCTCGTCAGCCAAATGCATTGGAAGATGCACCATAACATCAAAGAATGCAGGCGGAAAGATCATTTCCAGTTTACACAGAGTCACTGGAATCTTAGCCTTGATTATGTCCAACTCTTGCACCTTAAGTGATTTCGAACACAAGCTCCTGAAGTACTCTGACAATTCAATAAGAGGGTCACAGACATCCTTCGGTAAAAGACCACGTATGGCAAGTGGAATAAGATGTTGTAGAAGAACATGACAATCATGGCTTTTTAAACCAGATATATTATGTTCATCTACATTTATGCAATGAGATATGTTTGAAGAGAAGCCATCAGGAACCTTCATGTTCTTTAGAAAGTGACAAAACTTACGTTTACCATCTCGCAGCAATGTGTATTTTGCTCGTGGCATCTCCAACTTCCCACCTTCTCGAATAGGATGTAATTCTGGTTTTAATGCCATGTCCTCCAAGTCAAGACGAGCTTTCATAGTATCTTTGGTCTTTCCCTTCAAATCCATGATTGTCCCAAGCACATTATTGCATAAATTCTTCTCAATGTGCATCACATCTAAATTATGACGCAACAACAATGTTTTCCAATATGGAAGATGGAAAAAAGATACTTTTTTTGTTCCAGTTGTCTTCTCTTTGTTCATGGGATATCTTCACCTTTACTTTATGGCATTTTGTTAGACAAATACCCTCAAGATCTTGAACTTGGTCAAGTATTTGATCTCCTGAGAAGACTCTTGGCAGGCCTTGTTTCTCACTTGTCCCATCAAAAGAATCTTTGTTTTTCCTCCATCTGTGACCATTGGAAAGCCAACGCCGATGACCCATGTAACAAAACTTTCTTCCATTATATAACCAATCAGACCTGGTATCTTTGCTGCAAACAGGACAAGCTAACCTTCCCTTAGTGCTCCAACCTGATAAATTAGCATATGCTGGAAAATCGTTGATAGTCCACAATAAGGCTGCATGTAATTGAAAGTTCTGTCTTTTCGATGAGTCAAAAGTAGTGATGCCTTGATTCCACAAATCATTGAGATCCTCAATCAACGGTTGCAGATATACATCTATAGCATCTCCAGGACTTTCTGGACCAGGAATTAACATGGACAGAATAAAGTTGGAGGGCTTCATTATCATCCAAGGAGGCAAGTTGTATGGAACTAAAACCACTGGCCAGATACTATAGGGAGTTTTAGAATGTGCAAAAGGTTGAAAGCCATCACTAGCTAGACCAAGCCTCACATTTCGAGGGTCTGCTGAGAAAGATTGATGAAGCCCATCAAATGACTTCCATGCTAAAGAATCACTTGGATGTCGCATTATATCACTGTCACTCTTGTTTTCATAATGGCAAGTCATTTGAGAAGCAATCTTTGTTGACAAATATAACAGCTGAAGTCGTGGTTTTAGTGGAAAATAACGTAAAGTCTTCTTTGGCAATTTCTTCCCATTGACATTAGTCATGACTTCCCCACTACGCTTGTCAACTTTCCATCTAGATGCATGACATACCTTGCAATCATCACGATGTGCATCATCCTTCCAAAACAACATGCAACTATGCTCACAAGCATCAATTTTTGTGTATGAAAGGCCAAGATCCTGTATGATCTTTTTTGATTCATAATATGAATCTGGTAAAGATGATCCCTCGGGTAAGAGATCCTCTTTCATAAGCTTGAGCAACATGTTAAATGACTCATTACTCCATCTTCCAAGAGTCTTAATGTGCAGAAGTTTCACTATAGTTGATAATTTTGAACTCTTACAACCATCATAAACAGGTTGCTCAGAGTCATTTAGCAATCTATAGAACTTATCTGCTTCATCATTTGGTGACTCATTGTATGCTTCCTCAAAATCCACATCAAGTTCTTCTTCGATATCAATGTTAGGATACAAATCCCTCAAAACCTGATGCATTTCATTCTCGTTCTCATAAGCATCATTCACATTTTCAACTGCTGGTCCAAATGCCTCACCCAATTGTTCTCCATGATGGCACCAAAAAGTATAATTTGGGACGATTCCATAAGTGACCAAATGTGCAGCTACTGTCTCACGTGTTCCTGACTTTCCGTTGCAACACTTAACACATGGACATCGAATCTGATACCTACCCCTGTTCCTTTGAAATGCATAGTCTAAAAATTCTGAAACTCCATTATTATAATCCTCACTGAGCCTATTGTCGACAAGCATCCAAGTTTTACTTGGTGCCATTACACCTAATTCAAAACAGAAATCTCAAATTCTAATTCAACGTAAGGACATGGAATGACATAAACCTAACATACAGAGGGCAGAAAAACACACCTGGATTTGCTGAATTCGGACAAGGAGACTGTTGCCTTACAGCTAAATAGAGAAATTCCCAAAAGCTTCGCTCCATAGTTGCAACCGCCGACCCGTACCCATAGCAACTCGTAGCACCCGTAGCAAACCTCCACAGCTATAGCTCCGCTTCACAGCTGCTGCCACCAACCCGTACCCGTAGCAACCCTCCACAGCTTCACAGCTACACCCGCGACCCGCTCCACATCTACACCCGCCGACCCCTCCACGTCACTTTATTGGTTTTACGAGCATATAGGTGAAATAGGTGAACAAAGTTTGAACTGCTCGCACACAACACTCTTGTTTTCAGACTAGGGAACGAAGGAAGAGAGGGAAAGGGAGAAAGGGGCAATTGAAAATTGGGGTATGAGATAAGCTCGCACAACACTCTCTCCTCTGGTGTTCAGATTAGGGAACGAAGGAAGAGAATGAAGGTGAGAAAGGGGAAAGTGAAAATTAGGGTATGAGTGAAGGGAAGGAGAATTACGAATGTTTAAAGTTGTCCACGTACAAGGAACAAAATAACGTCCATGGGCTGGTTACTAATGTGGGCTGAAACAGAAAGCATTCTAATACAAAGTTTGATGCACTAATTTATAATAATTAATCTTTTAGAAAGATGGTTAGATAGATAGTTTACTTTTACTATCTATATTCAACAACGAGTTCGAGTCTACATGTATTCATATTTTTAATTTTTCCCTTCCAATTCAATTTTGCTGGAATGGATCTAATTCACTTTTGCTGGAATGTGTTCTAATTCAGTTGATGCACTAATTCACATTTGCTGGAACACATTTGCTGGAAGGGAATGGGATCTGATTCACCTTATGCACTAATACACTTATACAATATAACTAAAAAGCAGCAACCTGCATTCACTTGTACCCAACATTTAACATTGATTTACAGAAATTTTTATAGGATACATCCATAATATTACATCAGTAGCCACAATAGTTCTAGATGCTATATATACTGCATCAGTAGTTAGAAGAGTTTTAGATATTTCTAACCATCCCAAAAACTATTCAACTATTACATGACACCCATCCAAAATCATTCACAAGATTACAACAAATATCTAAAACTCCTCCTAAAAACAAAATCTCAGCAAAATACTGGTGTCATGAATCCCATCAAAGCCAACTCCACACTACCATACCTGCCATGAACAATAAGAATGCACAGAATCAGTGTTGAGACACACATCAAACATAAAGCACAAAAGAAGAGCAGCACATTTTGGACATCAGATTCATATGACATAAAGCAAAGGAGACATACTTAAGATTGACCATTTTGATTAGTGGCCAGACTGCCAGACCTTTGATCCATCCTTTCCATCATGGTTCTCATTTCAGAAATAACTTTAGCCTGCTCTGCTATTATAGCTGCCATGTCTGCCTTCTCTCCATTAGAGTCCCTTAGTTTGCTTGCCAATTCTGCCCTGCTTAATGCATCTGAACCCTTCAAGTCCTTAGGCCTCAATCCACCTCCAAAACCAATTATGTGTCCATGATTTTGATTGCCATAGAACTTCTCTACCAACTCTATTGGCTCTAACTCTGGATTAGCTTCACAGGTTTCAACAAGTCCAGCCTATCAAAATGAAACAATTAACAATCATCAACTGTATATCTATAAAGAACATAACTTCTAACTTAAAGAACCAATGTTACATGTCTTTCTTTTGCTGCATGTTCTTTTATTTCACCGTTGCTCTTGTGTGTCTCAAAGAACACTTTATCTATGGTCGGAGGAGTCCCATCTTTTCCACCCTAGAAACATCATTCAAATTAATTAACCCAAAAGCCAACTTATCAAACATCATAATTCATCATGAATAGATGCAGTAGCAGGAACAAAAACAAAATGCAGCAGGTGCAGCAAAAACAGAAACAAAATGCAGCAGCAGTATGCAGCAGCAAAAACAGAAACAAAATGCAGCAGCAGTAGTAGAAAATGTAACAGCAGCGAAAACATACACAACAATTCTATTGCACGTGAACAAGTTATAGCTAGCTTACAATTTCATAAAAATACTCTCGATTAGGCTTGCTTCCGCTATGATGATTCATAGTTTTCTTCATTCTATTCAGAGCATTGTTCTTGCTCAATTTCTGCAGTGGGGGGAAATAAATTAGAAATACTCATCAGTAAATCATATGAAGTCAATATTCCAAGAACCTATGAGAAAATTTGTGTAACAACCTGAAATTCAGCAGTGTAGAAAACGTGTTTCACACACCATTCCCAATCTTCTTGGCTACCTACTTCATCTGGTTTATTTTTCAGAACATCTTCTTCACAACCACATGGTTTTGCATATTTACGATACAAAACAGACCTCCATTTGTTCCAACGATCCCTCATATGAAGTAAAGTATGATACTTATACTCTATCATATTAGGATTATAGAAATATTCCTGCAATCATTGTATTATCAACATTAGGTATCTTTAAACATGTAAAAATGATTATATGAATAGCAGCTTGGCAGTTAAGACTCGTAAGGCACAGTTGCATATTGTTCCTTACCGTAAGTGCAGCCCACATATGCTCAAATTCTGCCCGGCCTTTGGACTTCCATCTTCTTGATTTGAATGATCAAATCTGGGGATTCCGAACAACCAATCCTATAAAGCTTGACCAAGTTGCTCTATTTGGGCCAGCACCACGATTGTTGTAGAAGGCAATAGGCAGCTTTTCACCACGTCTAAGTCTAGCAACAGCTTTACATATGCTTTTCCCTCGTACATTTTTCTGTCTAGCTGCAATGTCAAGAGATTTCAAAAAACAACATCAACAAATGCTCAATTTCGGCAACTTCAATTCAAAAATAAACTATAAATGAAAGTCTGGAAATACAGAATTATAAACTTGCCTCTTTCAGTCGATTCTTCATTAGAAACCATGTTTGCGGCAGGATCCATGTTTGCAGCTGGATCCATGTTTGCAGCAGGGGCCATGTTTGCGGCAGGGGCCATGTTTGCAGCTGGAGCCATGTTTGCAGCAGGGGCCATGTTTGTAGCTGGAGCCATGTTTGCAGCAGGTTCATCATGTGGATCTTCCATGTTTGCAGCAGGGGCAATGTTGCCAGTTGCAATAGGCGGTTCTGTTTCCCTTTGGGAAGCTGCAAACAGAGTTAAAGGTTAGAAATAAGTAGTTTGCAGCAGAACTGAACAATGTGAAAAACATTACAAAGAGTACTTACAAGATAAAGCTATAAGGCTGGAGAAAGAGGTTGGTCGATTTGGAACCCTCCTCCCAAGTGAGCCAGGGGCAACATATTTTGCTGGAATTTTTTTGGTAACACCATCACGGTCACGAGATTGACCAGTGTTTTGAAGATTCTGACCACCCTTCACCTTAAGCTTCTTACTACGGTTCACCTTAAGGTTCTGATCACCCTTCATTATCAATTCTACAACAAAATAACAAGAAGGCAATTGTATCATCTTTAACAAACTAAATCAATTCAACAAACTATATCAGTACACTATATATGCTACTGCTGTATAATCTTTATTTAATTAGATGGATTCAGTCCATTAAGGAAGAAAAGTTTAAAGCCTTACCTACCATTTATACAAACAAATATACGAAGGAATGGAGGAGATTAAGCATATGGCGGAGTTTAAAGCCTTACCTACCATTTATACAAACAAAAGTTTAAAGCATGCTGCATAATCTTTTATGAACTATATTAGACATCCTAGGTAGTTCTAGTTGCATGTGACAAAATCCTTCTAGATGCAAAGTTTAATCCCTCCCCAAATTCGTGTACAAAGAGAACCCTTTGGTAGTACCAGTTGCATGCGACCAGAACATAATAGAAAGGGAGGAAATTAAGTATACCTCAGCTGCAGGAGTGGCAGGAGCAGGGGAAGAATGAAGGAGGAAGAAGGAAATGATTTGAACCGATGATTAACAGGGGAATCAGATTTTGATTATGACAAGGAGAGATGGAAACGAAGAGAGGGAGGCTTTTCTTAGATTAGGAACGCAGAAAAGCTTTCCATCATTGCTCTTTCCTCTTTTATATGGTAAAACTGCAGAAGCCCAAATTTTGGCGGTAGAACCCCTAAATCCAATTAGCAGCGGGAGAATCCCAAAAAACTCGGCGGGAGAAGCCGAAAATTGCAGGTTTCATTGGAGCCAAAAAAATTAGGTTTCATTGGAGCCAAAACTTTAAGAATTGTTGGAGCCAAAATTTTAGGATAAGGAGCCAAACTTTTGATAGGGAAAATTTTGTAGGCGGGATGGGAAAATTTTAGGATATCTCCCGCCGCGGGAGATATTTTTCCAGTCCATCACTATGGAAAACTAATTTTTTGACAAACTATATCATTAATAATATAATAATACCCCAACCCAAACTTATAACACATTACTTAATCCACCAATCCATATTTTACATAGTTCACCAAATGTTTGTATCTAAATTTGTTAACCACATTGTGCATCTTTTTAATTCATCCTAATTTTAATTTTCAATTTTGTCACATTGTTCACGGTAATTAACTGTGAGTAATTATTAGTCACATTGTTCACGGTAATTTTCACATTGTTCACGGTAATTAACCGTGACTAACAATTAAACACGGTTAATTTATACTAAAAATTAGGAAAATTGATTACCGTGATTAGAACTATACAATTAAACACAGGAACTTTTACTGTGACTATTCGCATACTTCAGAACACGGGAAAAATTACCATGAATAAGTTACCGTGACTAGAAACCAGTTTTCCTGTAGTGAATGGTTCTTTTTGTTGGGTCTAGACGTAATAATATGTATACCATTGATCTTCAAAATCTTGATGCTTTTAATGAGTACTGTTTTGTTGTATCTTTTCAACAAGAACTCCTGTGGCATAGGAAACTTGTACATATTAGTTTGTCTAAACTGACAATGTTGTCCAAATTAAACCTTGCAAGAGGAATTCCTTTGCTTAAAGATAAAGCAAACTTTTTCTGTGAAACCTGTATTTCTGGAAAACAGACCCGAAAACCTTTCAAATCTAAGACAGACCTTACTTCATCAGCTGTGTTTGAACTGATCCACATGGACCTCTTTGGACCATGCAATGTCACTAGCCTTGGAGGAAAACATTATGTGTTTGTTCTGGTCGATGATTACTCCAGATTTACATGGGTTTTCTTTCTTGCTCATAAGGCTGAAACTTTTGCCAAATTTAAAACCTTTGCTTTAATGCATGCTGGTCAACTTAAGACTGTCAAAAGCGACAATGGGGGGGGGGGGGGGGTTCATTGTGGATGAGTGTGAAACTTTCCGCAATGATACTGGGATCTCGCACATTTTTTCGGCTCCTCGCACTCCTCAACAGAATGGAGTTGTTGAACGAAAAAATCGTACCATTATCGAGTGTGCTCGTACTATGCTCTTGGAATACAATCTGCCTAAATATTTCTGGGCCAAGGCAGGTAGAAGTGCGTGTCATGTGATCAATCGTGTTATTGTTAGAAAGACTCAATAAAACTCCTTATGAGCTTCTTAAAAACAAGCCTCTTAACATCTCTTATTTTCACCCTTTCGGCTGTCCCTGCTATGTTCTAAACACTCGTGATCAGCTAGGAAAATTTGATTCTAAATCAGATTTAGCCATTTTTCAGGGGTATTTTGTTCGTGGTCAGGCTTTTCGTGTTTATAACAAACGTACTCAGAAGGTTGAAGAGTCTGTTCATGTTAGATTTAATGAGATGATTTCTCCCGTAGAATCATCTTCTGTTCCTTTATCGTTTGACCTATCTGAATTATCTAATAGTTCAGATCAGTCCTCAGAAGAAGCAGCACCTGATCAAACAGACAGCTCCGAGAGTAATGAAAAGCAGGAACTTGTAGTAACAAGTAATATGGATGTTCCTGCTACAATTCCCACTGCCCCTCCACACATTCAGAAGCGGCATCCTACTACTCAAGTTATTGGTGACATCACTGATGGCCTAAAAACTAGAGGTAAATATGTACTAGGTCAGTATGCTTATGTCTCCCAAGTTGAACCTAAATCTTATAAAGATGCTCATAAAATTGAAGAATGGGTGTTTGCTATGATTGAAGAGCTAACTCAGTTTGAGTATCTACATGTTTGGGATTTGGTTCCCCGACCTTTAAATGTTACTATTATTGGAACTAAATGGGTGTTTCGAAACAAGTATGATGAATTGGGAATAATTATTCGTAACAAAGCTATGTTAGTGGCTCAAGGTTATTGTTAAGAAGAAGGAATTGACTATGACGAGACGTTTGCACCTGTTGCACGACTCGAGTCTATTCGACTTCTTTGTGCTTTTGCTTCTTACATGGGATTTCCTTTATTTCAAATGGATGTCAAGAGTGCTTTCTTAAATGGTGTGATAGAAGAGGATGTGTATGTTGCTTAACCACTTGGTTTTGTAGATCATAGGTATCATGATCATGTTTTCAAGTTAAACAAAGCTCTTTATGGACTTAAGCAAGCCCCTCGTGCTTGGTATGATCGTTTGACATCTTCGCGATCAGAATTTTGTCCAAGGTTCAGTTGACAAGACTTTGTTTATCAAACATGAATCCAGTGATCTTTTTTCTTGTTCAAATATATGTTGATGACATAGTGTTTGGGTCAACAAATACTTAGATGTGCTCTTCCTTCTGTGAGTCTATGAAAAGTGTCTTCGAAATGAGTCTCATGGGTGAATTGAAGTATTTTCTTGGTTTACAAATTAAACAAACACCCCATGGTACCTTCATTAGTCAATCCAAGCATGTGTCTACTATGCTTCAACAGTTTGACATGACTGCCTTGAATGCTTGTCCTACGCCTATGGCAACTAATGTCAAGCTTGATTTGGACGAAACCGGTGAGTTGGTTGATGAGTCTAAATATCGAGGCATGATCGGCTCTTTGCTCTATTTAACTGCAAGTAGACCTGATATCCAATATGATGTGTGTCTTTGTGCTCGTTTTCAATCTCAACCAAAACAAAGTCATCTTACAGCAGCGAACCGTATTTTTCGATATTTAAAAGGCACAATTGATGTCGGTATTTGGTATGCCAAGCAAGATCAATTTGATCTTCTTGGATATACTGACTCTAACTTTGCTGGAAGTCTTACTGATCAAAAAAGTACATCAGGCTGTTGTCAATTTGTTGGTACTTCCTTGGTGTCCTGGTTTTGTAAAAAGCAAGGAGATGTGGCTCTGTCCACGGCAGAGGCCGAATATATTGCTGCCGGCAGCTCTTGTGCTCAGCTCCTTTGGCTTAAGAGTCAGCTAAATGATTATGGGTTGAAAGTTTCTTCTATACCTCTTTATTGTGATAACACAAGTGCGATTTGCATGACTAAAAATCCGGTTAAGCATTCACGAACGAAGCATATTGACATTAAATATCATTTTATTCGTGAACTTGTTAAGGATGGTCATATCTCTTTGCATCATATTCCTACGGAATTCTAGCTGGCTGATTTATTCACAAAACCTCTAGCTGCTGATCGCTTTACCTTTTTATGCTTTGAAATCGGGCTTCGCTCGCTGTCATCTCTCACTGAGATGATAGGGGATACAGGATCCTGAGATGATTCTTTGGGACACTGATTTGTTGTATTTTTTATGGTTTTTGTTTTATTTCCTTTTTCTTGGTTCTTTTACCTTGCTTCCTGTAGTGTCTTTTGATTTCCTTCTTTGAGCGTTTCAGTTGCCTCTCTTGTAGCTGTTCTTTTTGGTTGTTTCCTTTTCTTCTTTGATTCTTCTTTCCTTTTGCTATGCTCTCTGTGTTTGGTAAGTTGTGTGCTTTCTTTTCCTTGAGTCTAATACGCCCCTGGGGGGTGTATGTTATCAAAGTCACGCAGCTAACGACTCAATCGAAGAATCGATTGAGCTCGAATCAAGAATGGAGCGTTCTTAATACGAACTTGGATAAAACGGAACCAAAAGGACGATTCCACACCTGGGGAACGCTCAATTGGATTAAAA